TTTGCTAACTTTCTTGGAAAGGTTTTAAAACAGGTCTTGGAAAGCCAATTCCCCAAAAGCCCTGGGTTTCCTCGTTCAGACCTGGCATTTGCGGCCCTCCGCCTCCGGTTGGACGACAACTCCCATCTGCCTGCGCCTAAGGGTGCAGGATGATGGGGACCAGAGTCCCATACCTTTGGGAGGAGCCCAGCCCCTGATCTGGAAGCACGTCGTGGGAGCTCTGCCTCAGGTAGCCCAAAAGAAGGACCCTCGGGGTCGTTAGCTGTTAATTAGCATCCAATTAGGGCTGGGATGACCCCGCCCCCCTACTTACTGTGATCCTGGGAGTTGGCGGGAAGCTCCCCTCCCCCCACCGGCTTCACTTTCTTCTTTGCACGCGCCACCTAAACTTTTTTGCTGGCGCCACCTACCCTGACTACCAGCCTAGGCGAGGAAGCCCGCCCTCCTCCTCCTACGATGGACGCGCCAGCTAGCTAATCGTCAGCCCGAGGTGGGTCGCAGTGGCTTAAGACGTTAGCTGACGTTGACGAATGGCATGGCCTCTCGAGGAGGATTGACGGGTCTTCCCGTCCCGCCCCTCCCCAAAGGAAGCCGCAGAGGCTGGGGAAGAAAGAAAGAGAAGAGGTGCCGCGCCTTCCGCGCAGCTTTCACTTCCGGTTCCCATCGCAGCTCTTCGGCGCCCCCCATGTGCGGGGTAAGAGGCGGGGAAAGGCCGAGAGGGGGGGAGCCGTGCACGGGAACAGTTTCCCCTTCTCTCTTGGGGAGGATGGGAGAGGTAGTTCAACCCGTGCGCAAGCGGGGAAAGCGTTTGGGTCGTGTTGGACTACCCCTTCCATTTTGCTGAGAATGATGGGTGGTGTAGTCCAACCCGTGTGCAAGCGGGGAAAGCTGCTTGGAAGCATTTTGGTGGTGTTCGACTACCCCTTCCATCTGGCTGAGAATGATGGGTGGTGTAGTCTAACATGGCCAGTATCCTACTGCAGATTTGCACCAGCATAAACAGAACTGCAGACATCTTGCCTGCAATTTGCCAATAGTTATTGAGTCACTGCTTGCTTTCCTGGCTTTGCAACTAGGAATGCCAGCTGGCAACTCATTTATTAGCGGCGATTTGCCACCAGGATTTACATAACACCACTTAAAGCTGTCATAAACACACAATATTATTCTGGCCAGTATGTTTATTCTTTGGTGGGTTATTATGTTTGTTTGGTAAACTGCAGTTTATTTATTTTAAATATCTTTAATGACCTTAACATTTAAGCAGGGTCATCAAGGGAGATGCGGTCCTGGGTCATCAGGGTCATCAAGGGAGATGCGGTCCTCGAGATACCTTGAACCCAAGACATTTAGGGCTTTGTAGGTGAGAACCAGCACTTGGAATTGAAATAATCTATGTATCCATATTCCTTCATGGACCTCTATCTGTTCCCCCTCCTAATTCTTTTTCTTTTATTTCTTTTTTCTCCTTTTACAGGAACCACAAAATCTGTGACTGCACTTCAAGCGATGGGGGAAGGAGAATCCCAGAAATTGCTTCCCCGGTTAATTCAGGAAGGACAGCTCGCCCTTCTGAAGGAAGAGATTGCCAGCATAGAAGATCTCGGCAGGGATGTGACGAGGAAGCACTTTGGCCGGTCGGGGGACACATTGCTCCATTATGCGGCACGGCACGGCCGGCTGAGCATCCTCCGCTACTTAGCTGAGACCCTCCCAATGGACATTGAACTGTTGAATAATGATTACAAGCGGCCTCTGCATGAAGCAGCCTCCATGGGTCACCGGGACTGCGTCTTGTATCTGCTGAACAGAGGAGCTACGGTTGACTGCCTGAAGAAAGCAGACTGGTGCGTTGGGGGCGGTGGTTCTCCAGCAGTCATTCCCATTCATGTTGTTCAGTGTTTACAAAAGAGGCCTGCAACGAAATGTTGGAGCATGGAGTGTTTCCATTCAAAGTTTTGAAAACTCCATTCTACTCTCCTTATGCCCTTTGCTGTTGTTTAGTCATTCAGTCGTGTCCGACTCTTCGTGACCCCATGGAGCAGAGCATGCCAGGCCCTCCTGTCTTCCACTGCCTCCCTGAATTTGGTCAAATTCATGTCGATTGCTTCGCAGACACTGTCCAGCCATCTCATCCTCGGTCGTCCCCTTCTCTTGTCATCACACTTTCCTAACATCAAGGTCTTTTCCAGGGAGTCTTCTCTTCTCATGAGATGGCCAAAGTATTGGAGCCTCAACTTCAGGATCTGTCCTTCCAGGGAGCATTCAGGGTTGAGTGCTCACTGGAAGCCCTCACTTCTGCCCTACACTTAATTAATTAATTTCTCTCTCCAAGTGGTAGCTGGCATTTTGGGCTCACTGAGCACATCCAGTCCTCATTAGCTGTCTTGGGTATGGTATTTGAGCTGCTTAGAGTTTTCTGGACTTCTGCAGACCTTGGGGTTCGTTTGAGTCTGTTGTAATTGTGAGAATCATGTAAACATCCTCACCTAGAAAATGAGTTTGCTTGTTAGCCAGAGGATCTTTAGTGCTCATCCACCTTCTGCAGCTGGTGCGTGTCTCCACATTATCTAATAACAACCGCCATAAAGCCCTTGTGCTAATTTGGGGGTTGAGCTTTGAACTTGTCAATTAGGATCCTTCTCCTGGATTATCTCTACTACCAAACAGCCGGTGCTCTCTTTTCACCGCTGTTAGATGCCTTTAAAAAATGTTAGCATGCATCAATTGCAACACAATGCCTTTGTGACTCTGGTGACACTCCATAAACCGTGTATACCAGCCCTGGCCCAGCAGTACAAATGGACGTGATGTCTTGTGACGGCAGCCTTCAAAAATGCAAAGCAGATTTGTAAATCCCAAATGTGTTATATCTAAAACAAACACACAAAAGAATAAGCAGTTTCAAAATGACAAGCTGTTATTATACAGTCAAATACCTTTTTTACTTTTGTTTCCTCTTAATAATTTAAATACATTTGATCCATTAGGTATGCTTAATGGATGCTTGCTTTTATACAAGTTCCAACAAGAACATGCTGTTTTTCCATAGCTTCTTACCAGTACAGACTCTCTCATCTCTTTAACTCCACAGCTCTCTTACTCTTTCTCCTGATGCTCAAATTTCTGTGCCTGGTTCTTCCAGACTACGCAAACCCGTCTCGCCTTAATCGTAGCTCTTTCTCGTAAAATTCCCTTTCTGGCTCCAAATGTGCCTGATCTTTTTCATATCTCTGCTCTATGTTTCCTTCACAAACTCACTCATCCACACCTGCTGGGAATAATTCAGTCCATCCACTCATCATTCCCTTGACAAATATTCCATCACCTCACCCCCTCAACTCTTTTAACTGTCTTTGCTGGTACACACGCAACCTATAACTGCCGGTCAGATCCTGGCCATCAATCATGCCTTCCAATATAAACCGGTACACAAATATTTTTTTTGCAAGACAGCATTGTCACAGAATATGACACCTTAAAAGTTTTTTGGGGGAAAGGCTTCACCCTGCTCATCTCTCCCCCAGGACTCCACTGATGATGGCTTGTACGAGGAAGAACCTGGAGATCATCCGAGCCCTGGTCGAGCATGGTGCGGACCCGCGGCTGAAGAACAAAGACGGCTGGAACTCTTTCCACATCGCCAGCCGGGAGGGGGATCCTGGCATCGTCCAGTACTTGCTGGAGATCTCTCCTGGCATCTGGGACACGGAGAGCAAGATCAAAAGGACGCCTCTCCATACAGCAGGTAGAGAGATTCCTGAACCGCCAGGTGGTGCCAAATCCATCACCTCCTTCTGAGCACCTAGGTGGCCCTCCACTTTGGCCCACCCAAAATATTGGTGGCAATCTTTTTTTTTAAAAAAAAAAGCAAAGTGTACAGTGGTGCCTCGCAAGACGATTGCCTCGTGGGACGATTAATCTGCAAAATGATTGGTTTTTGCGATCGCTGTTGCGCTTCACAAGACGATGTTTTTATGGACGATTTTCGCAAGATGACAATTTTCCCCATTAAGTAGATTTCAATGCATTCAATGGGGAACCGCATTCCACAAGATGATGTTTTCTATGGACGATTTTTGCAAGATGATGTTTTTTCCATTGGAATGCATTAAGTAGATTTCAGTGCATTCCAATAGTTAACCATGTTTCGCAAGATGATGTTTTCGCAAGACAGCATTTTTTGCAGAACGAATTAATATTATCTTGCGAGGCACCACTGTACTCCATATAGATTGCCCCATAGAGCTTGAAACACTCTCTGGGTGGTTTACAATTTATTTCTGCAGGTTGCATGTCACCCTCCCTGCCTGCAGCAAGCTGGGTGTGCAGTTTGCTAGCCTCAGAAGGGTGGAAAGCCGAGTCAGCCTTTAACCAGCTACCTGACTCCGTTGGGTTCGAACTCAGGCTTGTGGAGGTTTGACAGCAGTCCTGCAGTTGAACCACAGTGCCATGGGACTCTTAGACTTTTTATAGTTGCCAGGTGCGGGACACCATATAAAAGAAGCCAAAGTAAAATTGGTGGATCTCTAATGCAATGCAGTGATGAAATGAAAAATGCAAAGCAGAACAACCTGTATGAAAGTGTTAGATAAAATTATAGTTATGCAAAATCAGCCATGTTTAGCCCTTTATGGAACACAGTATTTGCTCTGGATCTTCTACCAGCCCTCTAGTTGAAGCTCACAATGTTCAGCAACCTTTGCCTTAAGCATTGAGAGAGAAAGACGTATAGCTACCTGCTCCAAGGGGCAGGTTTCTGAAGACTCCAGGGAATGGGCAGGACAATTGATCCAGGTGTGGGGGGGAATCAGAGAAGAAAAAAAATGTAAAATTAAATAGTAAGATCACTGTATGTGTGCATCTTTCGCTCTGTGTGTGTGTGTGTGTAACAGGAATAAATAAATGGAAGCAATAAGGGAGGCATAGAACCTACCAGAAGAAGCAATCTAACTTATTATAAAAAAAAACACTATTGTTTTCTTAGAATCAAGACACACTGAGGCCGAAAGGCCCCAGAGCAGTCAATATCTGCAAAGGTAAAGATTACAAGAGAAAAAGTGAACTAGCATGGGAACAAAGGTGGCTTTGATCTCCTTTCACCCAAAGGGCCGTTGTTTCCTGTTCTTCCAGTGCTTCTCATTTCCCTGCCTTCTGATTGGCTTCCTTACAGTGGGGTCTCGACTTACAAACGGCTCGACATACGAACATTTTGGCTTACGAACCGCTCTCATAGGACTATATGGAGTCGACTTACGAACTTACATTCAAGTTACGAACTCTTTTTTTCCCTTTTTTTTAAACCTAAGTCATCTTAGGTTAAAAGGAAAAAAGGAAACAAATATCCCCCTCTAGTGGCAGAAGGCAGAATAGCAGCTTCCCATTAGTTTCTATGGACGAAAAGAGCAGATACGGATTAAATGGTTTTCAATGCATTCCCCCTTGTCTTCCAGCTCAGCCAGAGCCTCAGCAAAGCTGGGTCTGTCTTTTTCTGCTCATTCCATCATGCAAACGTCCAGGCTGGAAGGGGCCCTCAAGCCCCTTTGGCCAACAGGAAACAGTCAATGGTGCTGTTTATGAAACAAACCAAAGATTTCCTCCACGCCGTTCCATAGGCTGGCCATTCCACTGGTCAGTAACCAAGTCTATAGACCAGTCATCTGGTCGATAGGCCAGTTCAGTCCGTGTGTCCAGACAATCTTGCATCCTAAAAGTGGGACCGGATTAAGAGGAGAAAGCCCTAGAGAGCAATACATTGCTGCTCAACACACTTCAAAGTTCTGATTTATCCTTTTTGTGTTCACACAAATCAAAAATGAGGTGTGAGACATCAGTGAGTGTCTCGGAGCAGTGGGCGCCACTGAGAAATACAGTACACATTACTAACAATACTGGAAACGTTCATATATGATCAAAGCAGCAACAGGAAGAAAAATTAACAAAAGAAGAGGATGCAGCATTTGCTTTGGGGGGACGTTTCTCTTGTGCATCAGTATGGTTCATTCTTCGTTTCTCCTCTTACCCCACAGCGATGCACGGATGCCTGGCGGTAGTGAAAATGCTTCTTGAAAGGTAAACCAACTTCCTCTCCTCATTCCCCCTATGAATCGGCTCCCACTAGCTGTTCAGTAATGACTCCAAATTAAATGGAAATGCAAGGCACCTTACAGTTCTCCCGAGGAAGGGAAGAAAACTATGGCCAGAATCCTATTACTTCCATGTATTAATCTACGTGAAGGAGCATAGATCGTGGTGGGAAATGGCTTTTAAGGGGTCGATGCGTGTATTCTTGATCATAGGTCAAGTCTCGTGATTGGCGTAAGACAAGGAATGCAAGCATCAGCTACTGTACTTAACAAGCGGCATTTTGTAGCCGTGCGTTCCACCCTTTGACTTGTGGTGGGATATATTTATTGTATTTGTTTATTTAAAATCTTGTTGCCCTGCCTTTGTCCTTAAAAAGGACCCGAGGTGACTTACATCATTTAAAGGCAATATTAAAGCTAAAAACAATCAGTATACTGTACAAATATTAAAAAGGAACAAACAGATACCACTCTGAGAGGTGGTAAACACAAGTAGTACTAAAGACCTAGTCGGAGCACTAATGCATAACAGTCCATCTAAAAATCACACCGAGAGAAAGCTTGCTTACAGGATTTTGGACTGTGACGAAGAGGCCCATGTGCCAGCTCATACTGCTGTTCATGGGCTCTCGGCTGCAGCCTCTTCCTATAGGTGTTCTAAAGCAGGTTTGGAGGGAACAGAACAGACCTTCTAAAAGAGGACTGGCTTTGGTAAAATGGGACCCATGTGCCACCCAATTTTGTGTGCAAGGATTGGCCTTTATTGTCACTTATGTATCATCCAGATTTGTTTTCTGGTTAAAACGAAGCTGGCTGGTTCCAGAACTCATTCCGCTAGAGCTTAACTTTTTCCTTCTGGACGACAATGCCCAGAATCCCCTAACCATCATGGCCAGTGGGGATTCAGGGAGTTTTAGTCCAAAGAGGTTTAAAAAGCTGTGTTCTGTCTATTCCAAGGTGCAAGTATGAACCAGACAGTGTGGACAAATGTGGAGTCACGCCGTTTATGGATGCTGTACAGAGCGGGCATATCAATATCGCCCGACTGCTTCTAGAAAAACATAAGGTATGTTTGAATATCCAGGGTCTGGTGTGCCTTTAAAAATCACCAATGTAGATTTTTTAAAATGTGTTTATTCAAGATATTTTACCCCGCCTTTCTCCTAAAAAAAGGACTCAAGGTGGGTTACAGTATTAAAAGGTAAGAGCTAAAAACAATAAATCATTTCAGTCTTTAAAAAGAATTAAATATAATATTAAAAACTAGGAGCAAAAGGTAGTCAGTCTTACAGAGGAAGAGCGGGATCTGTTCTTGATCATCCCAGAGTGCAGGACACACAATAATAGGCTCAAGTTACAAGAAGTCAGATTTCGGTTGAATACCAGGAAAAACTTCCTAACTGTTAGAGCAGTATGGCAATAGAATCAATGATCTCAGGAGGTTGGGATTGCTCCGACACTGGAGGCCTTCCAGGGAAAATTGGAGAATCATCTGTCCGATCTGCTTTGTTTTGGATTCCTGTATTGAGCAGGGGGTTGGACTTGATGGCCTTATAGAGCCCTTCCAGCTCCTTGATTCTATAATTCTATGAAAAGCAGTACTCAAAGCACATTAAAGACAACACGTTTTTATTTTTATCTGCTGTGGATAATTTGTACGGCCCTGTTATTAGGCACAATTTCTTGAAAGTGTGTTGAAGATTTGGTCTGGAAAGGCTCACCATAACTTTAGAATGGATTTCGTGGCACACTGTTACTGTTGTTATAAGAATAAACTGGGGCAGTTGTTTCAGCTACAGTTTTGCAAAAACAAACAAACAAACAAACCCAGTGCTTGACGCTGGACTTCAGCTCATGGGTGCCTTGGTCGGGCTTGGCTGGGGAATTCTGGGACCCAAAATTATCAATTGAGACTACCAACTTGGCCATCAAGACTACAAACTATAATGGAGAATTATGAGCATATTATTTTAGGGGTTTATTCCAGTGGTGGGATTCTGCCGGTTCGCATTGGTTCTACAGAACCGATATCTAATGTACCATTGGTTCTGCAGAACCGTTTGTTGGCCTGCTGAATCCCACCACAGGGCACGCCTGCCAACTGGCGGGGGCGCACCTGGGGAGAGGAACCGGGTATGAGCTGGAGAGGCGAGGGAGGGCCATCCCCAAACATGATTTGGAGGAGAAATGCTGGGAAGGCAGCCAAATCGATAAAAATCCACTCCGGCCCATGATGGCTCACAGGAGGGTGGCCGCTCCCATCCCTCACGGCACTCTGCAGCCACCGCCTTCTGCCCTGCCCCACCCGTGCGGTCCATGATTCCCCCTTGCCGCCTCTTTTCCTTTCTTATGTCTTTGTGTTCGTTCATTCGTTCCTTCATTTGTTTGTTTGTTTGTTCCTTCCTTCCTTCCTTCCAATAGCTTGTGTTCTCCCTGTCGAGTCTTTGCCCCTTCGTTCTTCCCGTCCTTTCTTTCCCTCACTCTTTCGCACCTGCTTTTCCTCTTCTCTCCACCTGCCTGCTTACAGCCACTATTCCTCTGAAGGGAAGGGAAGCAAGTAAGACACAATTCTGTCAAAAAGATGGGGAGGTGCAGGCAGGCAGAAAGATGACAGGAGTGCCCCGTTTGCCAAGGGGTGAAATTTCTGCATCAGCCTCAAAGGCAGACCCACGTAGAGTGCGTTACAATGGTCTAATCTCGAGATTACAAGCGCATGTACTAGAGTAGTGAGGGTCCCCCGATCAAGATATGGTTGCAGCTGGGCAATCCGCCATAGATGAAAATAGGCGGAGCGGACCACAGACGCCACCTGGGTTTCCATGGTAAGCGCCAGGTCCAGATGTACCCCCAAGCTGCAAACCTCATTCTTTGCGGCAAGTTCGTCCCCCCAAAAGAAAGGGAGTTACCTATACCGCTGACGGAAGGACCACCCACCCTCAAGACCTCCGTCTTGTCCGGGTTCAGCCTCAACCCATTCAACTGCATCCATTCCAGTTTTTCCTGATATTCCGCTGGAGGGACAGAACGGCATCCACTGAGGTAGATAAAAAGGAGATGTAGAGCTGCGTGTCATCAGCATACTGGTGACACGAAGCTCCACACCCCCGATGACCCCCCCCAGCGGCCTCATGTAGATGTTAAACAGCATTGGAGAGATGATCGACCCCTGTGGAACCCCGCAATTGAGGCTCCTACAGCCCGACAATTCAAAAGCATTAATTCTTTGGCAGTCAGGTGGGTTTTGCTAATTCCCAAGGTCCCTTTCCCAAGAGAAGTTTATTTCCTTCCGTCGTTTTCTCCTGAGTGCACAGACAGCAAGCAAACATCCGTCGGTCGAATCCTCCCTGTGACTAAGTATGTAATCCTCTTTCCAAGCTGGTGCATTTCCAGCTCTCTTTGACTCCAGGCCCTATGAGTCCCACCCTGCCTGGCCGCTTGAG